TGACACTTGCACCACAGTTGACGAGTTCCTAAAATATTCGTCTAGATGTGAGACTGTTGTTAATATGAAATGGACTATTCAGTCAAATCACAAGGACACCTCCACTACTTATTCGTTTTTAAACACGTGCCTTTCAGGAAAATCGTCCAAGAGCATAAAGACGATCACAGCTCTTTCGAAAGTTATGAACCACCCTTGATAAAACGTCGGTGTTTGCTAGAAATCCAAAGATCAGCAGCCACAGCAGCCTCCGCTATAGAGGTTCCAGCTTTCTCTGGTGCTGAGGTGATCACTGGTCCATCAGATCCCCATGTTCCTATCCCTGTAAAGAGTGCACGTCGACGCCTTCATTTTGGCGACGATGATTCTGGTGAAAGTGAGCATCTGTCAGAGGGTTCAGGTGTGTCAAATCCATTTGCTGACTGGAGCGAAAACAAAGTTCGCTGATGTTGCCATTTGCAACATCAACACCAGTCCATTGTCCCTTGACTCAGCATGAACCAACTTCAACGCCAATGGTGGGAGAGTGCAGGTCTTTGTCTGATCTTCTGTCTAAATTTGACAATGTTCCATCTCCTTAGTCACCGATGCCGCCTTCGCAACAATCATTTGAAGAAACAAAAGTTATTCTCGAGAAAACAACTGTTCATTTCTCAAATTGTCTCTTACCCAAAATGCAGGCGAAAATTCTGTGTCTCTGGGGAAAGTCAGTCTGTTGCATCACCAGTGCAACCCATATCAGCTTGCCCAACAGACTTTCTGCCATTCTCGCCATCTCAGTACATAATCCCTTTATCACCAGGTCAACTTGAGGAAACCTCATCTACCTCAGATTAGCTGTATCAGACTCAACCCCCTCGTCCTCAGATCAGCTGTACCAAACAGCCTTGTCTCTATCGCCCACGATAACACCCGTTGCATCTGAAAGACGAGAAGTGCCACATCTTACTCTTAAGGAAAAGCACACCATTCTTCTTCCATGCAACTGTAGAATGAACTGCATCGTGAAAATCCCTCCACCAAGACGTCAAGTAATTCA